TGCTGAGCCCATGGCCTTGGCATGGGGATGCCTGAGTGACTGCAATACCCTGGCCTGGACTTGCCAAGCTTTGCAGACAGGAGCCCCGGAAAGCAATTTAGTGGGGCACTAAACAAACAAGACAGAACAGCATAGAAAAGAGTGCGGCCTACATCAAGTGTTTTGTGCACATTTAAAACATATAACTGTATAGCAAGACGTGATGTAGGAGCTGATGAGATGGCTCAGTGGTCTAAAGCACCTACTTAGAACAAGCTTAGCAAAGCCCAGGGACCACGGTTCAATCCCCCAGCACCACATGCCAGCCAGCCCCGCCCCCTGGTGGGCTGAGCTGGCCCCCCACACACACATAAATAAAAAAAAAAAAAGATGTGATGTAAGGCCGGCCAGATAGCTCAGCGGTAGGGGAGGGGAGGGGAGTGACGGCGGTGGGGGGAGGGTTCCCCAGCGTGCCATGCCGGCCCCGCCCCAGGCCAGGTCGAGCAGGGACTGGGATTGGGCATGGTGGCTCGTGCCTATAATCCCAGTGCTTGGGAGGCTGAAAACAGGAGCACTACGCCATGAGATTCTGTAGGCCCTGTAGATCCTGTACCAAATACATAAAATAATAATAAGAATAATAATGTAAACTGGGTGTGGTGGTGCATATGCATAAACCCAGTATACCTGTGGCTGAAGCAGGAGGATCTCCTGCTTCAAGTTCAAGGCTAGCCTGAGCTATATAGTGAGTTCCAGGCCAGCCTGAAATACGCAGCAAGACCCTGTCTCCAAAACCATACTACTAATAAAATAGAGTATGAGTATGATGTAAAAAATATTTTAACAGCGGCATTAGGCACATTCACACTGTACAGTCATCTCTCCCCGCCATCTCTAGAGCTGGGTCACCTTCCCAAATAGGAATCTGGTCTTCATGAACTCCCTCACAATCCCTGGAAGCCAGCGTTCTTTGACGACTCCTGTAACTTCAAACCATTTTAGAGAAAAGATGTACTATTTCTCTCTTTGCCTCTGGACAAAATATATATAAACTGCAGTTTGTGGAATGTGTTCTTAATAGGGCCAGGGGCACGCACAGCTGAGGAGTACAGCACTTGCCTAACAAGTGCAAGGCCCCCGGTTCAATCCCCAGCTCCGCCAAATAAAGAAAAATAAAGAAATAGATATATAAAATAAAATGCAGTGTCTTACTGAAGCCCTGGTAAAGCAAATTGAAGTCTTGGGCAGCAGTGCACACATGGGGCCCCAGTTACTCAGGAGGCTGAGGCAGGAGGATTGCAAGCTTGAGGCCAGCCTGGGTGTGACAAGAAAATAAGGAACCCAGGGCAAAGGCCGCAAAGCAGTCAGGTGCGTCTCCATACGCTGCCTGCGGGCCCTCCGTCTGCCCAGCAGATAAGCTACCCGGCCGCCCTGCGACCCCTCGCCCCTTCGCCCCCTCATCCAATGAGCACGTTCCTTTTCCTTCTCGCTAATAAGCACACAACACACCAGGCCTTCCCACTGCCTGCTGTACTCTGGCGCCGCAGAAGAAGAACCAGGAGCACCAGAGAGCTGGCTCCATGTTTGATGTCCAACACGGGGTCTTCACCGTCTTTCCGGAGATGTAAGGATGAAGGAGGGCCGTCAGCGGACTAAAGCGCCTGCTTAGGCAAGGAGCAGCTGCTGGGGTTCAATCCCCAGCGTGCTGTGCCAGCCGGCCCCGCCCTGGGGCGTGCTGAGACTGGGCGTGGTGACACACACCTATAATCCCAGCGCTTGGGGGGCTGAAAACAGGAGGATCGCTACGAGTCGGACCTATGTAGTGAGACCCTGTAGACCCTGTCAACAATAAATCTATAGGGTAAATTTCTGAGTAAACATCTGACTGTTGTATACAACTCCTTTTGCTGCCCTCTGTTAATAAAAATTAAAATTGGGACCAGGGAGATGGCTCAGTAGAATAAATGCGTGCCTGGCAAGCACAAGGGCCTGAGTTCAATCCCTGGTTCTGAAAAAAAAAAAAAAAAAAAAACAACAATTAAAGTAGCCATGCACCTGGAAAAAGGATGCTCTCTTCGGGTATGAAGAGCAGACCTCCACAGGGAGGTGGGTGTCCCTAGGCTGCCATGACAGACAGGAAGACAGGCTGCAAGTTGGGCTGGGCACACATGCAGCGTGACCTCAAGATAAGGCAGGTGGGTATAGGGCAGGAGCTCCAAGGACAGATCTGACCATAGATTAGCATACAGAGCCTGACCTCAGGGGACCTGGAAAGGGTCATGTCTTTTTTTTTTTTTTTTTTTTTTTTTTTTTTTTTTTGGGTGTGGGTTGGTGTGTTTAGTGGTTTTTTTTTTTTTTGTGTGTGTGTGTGTGTGTGTGTGTGTGGCCAGCTCAGCCCACCAGGGGACGGGGCTGGCTGGCATGTGGTGCTGGGGGATTGAACAGTGGTCCCTGTGTTTGCTAAGCTTGTTCTAAGTAGGTGCTTTACACCACTGAGCCATCTCACCAGCCCAGGGTCATGTCTTTTTTACTTATTGTACAGGCTCTCCCTACACAGCTCAGATTTGTAGTGATCCTTCTGTCTCAGCCTCCCCAGCGCTGGCATTACAGGTGTGTGCCACCATGCCCCATTTCAGTGGCTGGCATAGCACTCCTGGGGTCTGGGGCTGGCACGGCATGGGGTACCGGGGATCAGTCCCAGGTCCTTGCACTTGCCAGGCAGGAGCTTAGATCACCAAGCTATCTCTCCAGTCGAGGGTCACCTCTTTTTCTTTTTTTTGCGGAACCGGGGATTGAACTCAGGCCCTTGCACTTGCCAGGGAAGCGCTTATTCCACTAAGCCATCTCCCCGGCCCCGAGGGTCACCTCTTTTATCTTTTTTCTCTCCCCAAAAGTTTACAAGAGAGATTGTAAAGATGTACATCTTAAATGCTTACAAATACTAGCTCAGCCGAGGGTGGCGGCGACACCTGTAACCCCAGCAGTCAGCCCAGGCTGGCTTCAAATTCTGGGTGATCCTCCTGTCTTAGCCTCCTGAGTGCCACCACATTTGGCCTTCCAAAGCAATATTTTCTTTTTCTTTTCATTTAATGGACACAGGTCTTCACCTACATATTTTTATTTTATGAAAAAATAGGATAGGGGAGATAACTCAGCAGTATAAGCACCTGCCTGGCAAGCACATAGTCCAAGTTTGATCCCTGGTACCAAAAAAAAAAAAAAAAAAAAAAAAAAAAAAAAAAAAAAAAAAAAAAAAAAAAACACCAAAATCTGCTGGGTATAGTGACTCATGCCTATAATAACCTCAGGACTCAGGACGCTGAGGCAGGAGGATCTCTGCAAATTCTAGGCCAGTCTGGCTGAACCACATAGAGAGAACTTGTCTCAAAAAAACAAAACCAAAAACCTCATCTTTTAAAAAAGATTTGTTTTAACAACAGAGACAGGCCGCGGAGATAGCTCAGTAGAATAAGCACTTGCCTGGCAAGCGCAGGGTTCTGAGTTCAATCCCTGGTACCGCAAAAAAAAAAAAAAAAAAAAAAAAAAAAAAAAAAAAAAAAAAAAAAAAAAAAAAAAAAAAAAAAAAAAAAAGCAGAGACATGCTACAACTGAGCCCACACGTGGTCCTGCCCTCAGCCCAGTTATGAACTCATGATCTGCATCTATGAAATGGGTCCAAACAAGTCTTCCAGCCCACAGGTGCCGCACCACATGCTGTGTGTATCACACACCAAGAGACACACGTGCACAGAGCTACTAGGCACAGCAGATAACACTGAAGCCAGGAAGTGGCCCCATCCCTTACCCATGGCTCAGGGAGGTGTGAGCAACCCCAACAAGCCTCACTTGTCTTAGTTTATGAAACTGCCCTGCCAAAAAGGCCTGGTCCATCTGCTACACCGAGCAGGGTTGCCCACATCCAGTTTTCCTATGAAGCAGGCAGACAGGCTGGCCGCTTTCCGACCAGGCTCCTCCCTCTGTTCAGCTGTGCCCTGCCCAGCACAAATGTTTCATGAAGCATTAGCCCCCTGTGGGTGCAGGGCAGCAACAGCTGGGATGGAAAACTGCTAGTTTGTGGGTTTTACAAGCCCTGATTTCTTTATAGAAAAAGAAAGAAAGTTTCGTGCCCGCACTCTCTCTCTTTATATTTCTGCACTGGAAAGTGAATCTAGGGCCTTCACACTGAGCTACATCCCCAGCCTCCTCCTGCTACCCTTTTTTTTCGCGGAACCGGGGATTGAACTTAGATCCTTGCGTTTGCCAGTCAAGCGCTTATCCTACTGAGCCATCTCCCCGGCCCCGCTGCTACCCTTTTAAGACAAGAGTCGCACTATGAAGCTTAGGCTGGCATTGAACAGTTGGCGATACTCCTATCTCAGCCTCCTGAGGGCTGGGATTACGGCTTGCCTGGAAATTAATTTTTTTTTTTAAACATTTATTTATTTTTATTTATTACGTGTGTGTGTGGCCAGCTCAGCCCACCAGGGGGCGGGGCTGGCTGGCATGTGGTGCTGGGGGATCGAACCGCGGTCCCTGTGCTTTGCCAAGCTTGTTTCAAGTAGGTGCTTTAGACCACTGAGCCATCTCTCCAGCCCCTGGAAATTAATTTTGATCTTCCTGGCTTGGCCTTCCAGAGTGCTAGGATCACAGGCATGCACCATCATGCCCCACTTTTAGTTCCTTTTTACAAATAGCAACAATATCTCCCCTCCAGCAACAGAGGAGGAATCTTCCTTCTTCCCCTTCACTTTCCCCTGCAAACCATAGTGTGGGGCTTTCAAGGCTGTGACTTTACCCAAGCAGGAGAGGAGGCCACACACTTGACCCCGCTGTGGACCTCACCGGCTGTGGACCTCATCCAGGTCTCTCCTGTACTGTCCTACAGTGACAGGGTCCTGGTCCCTGCTGCCGGAGTGGAGGAGGACCGTCCAGTGCCAAGTATCTGGGAAATGCCCCTCAGCCCACACCCATCCTAAGCCACTGCCACACACTTCAGGACACTCTGTGCAGTCACACAGTACCTTCAGTTCCCTTCTCCCTGAAGGTCCTCAGGGCTTCCTCTGGTTCCATTCGGACGACCCATCTGCTGGGCGAATACTGCTTCTCCAGCTCCTGCCAGACAGACAGAGGCTCCTGAGACTTGCGTTCTTGCTGAGCAGGCCCTGCCCGTGCCCATGCCCATGCCCATGCTTGGTGCTCCTCTCTGTCTTAAGACACCCCCAGCCCCATATCTCAGACTCTCCAAGATGCCCTCAGCTGCCTCGAAGTCCCTCTAGTGACAGCCTGCACGTCTGCTCCCCACACTCTCAACTAGGTTTGTTCAGACAGACAAAGATGCTCTCAGATTCCTGATCTACAGCCACACTGGAGATGGCCGAGCCTTTAACCAGCCAACAGCCCTTTGGGAGTCGGGGTTCCAGAAAAATGAAGTTTACTCTGCCGTGGACCTCCTCCTGTGGCAGCTGAGACCAAGGAGGCCAGCCATGGACCTGGTTAACTTAGCAGACTCATCCAGGTTAATGAGTCACTGACCTGGGCCCTCACATGTAAGCAGAGTCTGGGAGAACAGGAAGACTGCCAAACCCTCAGTAATCAATGTCAATATATATATTTTTAGCTTTTGGTCGTTACGATAGGGGTCTACAGAGGGGTCTATGTAGTCCGGGCTGATCTACCTGTGTCAGCCTCTTCTGAGTACTGGGATTACAGGTGTGCACCACCATGCCCAGCTAGAGGCTCTTGAATGGGTAGCCAAAATGTTTAGGTTTAACACAAATTTTGAAGGAAGGGTTCAAGTCATCAACGTAGGAAACTTGAAAACAAATAGCCTCACGGAAAGGCCTGGACCAAAAGGCATCATTTCCTGACTGCCTCAATCTGGGCAGTTGGCTTGCTTGTCTCTGCTCTGTCCCCTCATGGACGTAAGGGACACACTGGCCCCTCACAAGGTTAAGAGAGATGGCATGCAGAGGCCACAAGGTGAGTCCCCCCCATGTGGGTTGTTGCCTTCTCTTGTGGAATGGGGTTTTCGCCAGAGGCTCTTGGAGCCTGTTATGGTTTGTGTCTAGGTGTCCCCCCAAAGCCTCATGCAGTTATGGGGTGACTTCTAGAGTTTGTGATTAATTCATGATCCAATGCTGGGATTATGGGTGTGAGTTCTATTCCCGTCCAGGGGGGAGGAGGTAATCTGCATTACACTGTAAGGAAGGGAGAGAGGCTTGCTAGAAGCCGCTGCTGCCGCCCCTCCCTTTGCCCTTTGCTGCTTTCCACCACCATGAGCTGCTGCCCTCTGCTATGTGCTGCTCTGTCTTAGAGTATGGATTGAAAACCCCACTACCTGTGAGCTAAATAAATCTTTCCTTCCTTAATTTCAGGTGTTGGGCATTTTGTCCCAGCAATGAGAGAAAGTAACTGAAAGTAACTGAGCCAGAGCCATACAATCATTCCCCGCATAGTGATCACCTAGAGGATGCTGAGGGCCCCGCCTGGCACCTCTTACATCCTGCTGTTATCTTTACGGCCTCTGTCACTAAGGGAAAAGCCTAGCTCCTAGCTAGGTAAAGATCATTCATTTCCAAAGCTATGCTGCTGGGCAATGTATGACCAGCCTCCTTCTAGACTGCTGTCGATTACACCTCTGCCATGTATGAAGTTAATGGTTGCTTAGGACACTGGCTCTTCGCTTGGGCCTATAGAGGTTCCATTGGCTACCCTGGAATGGGATGACAAGGCTTAGCGTCTGTGTTCCTCTGGTGCCTGTCTCCTTTTGGGTCAGATTCTACTCAGTTCCATGAGTAAACCTGTTGGCCACCTGAAAAATGTTTTGTCCAAACATTAACAAAGGATTAACTTGGACCTCTTCCTCTTCCTCTCCCTGCAAGGCTAAAGGCATCTGCCAGCTGCCATGACTGGAAACACCAGACCATGAAAGATTCAAAAAGGGGTAGCAGCTGACTTTCTGACTTTCAGTGTCCAGAACGTGCTTCAGAAAAGACATGGCTATTCATCCTTTCTACTAGCCTCTTTCTCCCTCAATCCTACCAGGGCCTATAACCTTGAGTGGAGGATCTGAAGATCAGATGAATGTTAGAGATGTTGCCTGCAGTGGAAAAATCAGATTACAGATTTTGTGGCCCATTCTTTGGCCATAAAATAATGCCTCACCTTGTCCCCAGCACTTGACTTTTGGGCGTTAGGTTTCTTTCTGTGGAACTACTTGTGGATTTGAGTTTGAGAATTTTATTTATCAAGACAGTCTTGATATGTAGATCAGGGTAGCCAAACTCGAGCCCATCCTCTGCCTCAGCCTCCCAAACGCTGGAATTACAGTCATGTACCATCTCCAGCCGCTGAGGATGCTACTATTTATGAGGTGGACCATATGGTGGATGTCTGAGAGCTGTGTAAGTGGAGGTGGGTGGAGAAAGGAGGACAAGGAGGAAGAAAAGAAGCAGGAGGGAGGGGAGGGGATAGGATTCCCTGGGGCAGTGTCTGTATCTTTCACCGGATTCCCAGAGGTACCTTAGATTGGAAAAGCACACCTTAAGGTGAAGGAACCTACTTAAGAACCTGCAACCCAACAATGGCATTAAAAATGCCAGGTGCCGCACTGTGCTCCTTCTCGCGTCCTCTCTGACCCCACAGCAGCCTCACAGTAAACACTTTGTGCAACTCTCACCGCTGACCAGGTGCCCTGTGCAACACGGGGTCAAGGTCTGAAAAAACTCTGACCCCAACCTCAAGGGCCTACGTAGGAGACGGACATTGCCAGGATTTCAGTTCTCTCTCTCCTCAAAAATCTGGCAAAACAAAACAAAAACCAAAGCAAAACAAAAAAAAAATCTGCTGCTGCAAAAAGTCGAACAGTGCTTGTACCCAAGCCTTTGAGACCTGGCACTCCAGCACCTGCAGGAGAGCCACCCCTGAATCCCAGGCCAGCCTCGAGCCAGCTTCCACGGTCCCATCCCTCCCTGCAGCCCGCCTACCTCCGCAGACATCTCCTTCCAGGGTGCCTGGGCCCTGGGTACCGCCCGTCTAGCGTCCATGCGGGTCCACACCAGAGGGCTGCAGGATAACGCAGCTCACCCTGCCGTAAGGAGGGGCGCGCCCGTCACGGCCACGCCCACTTCCCAGCAGCTAGCGAATCGCGTCTGTCTAACCACGCCCACTGGTCACGCCCACCCCAGGCTCCCACCCTCACCCCACCCCCTCCACTCCACCCCCACCAGTGGTTCGTCTAGACAGGAAAACTTTGGCGGCTAAATCTTTCCCTCATTCCAGCACTCTGAAGAGTGAGGCAAGAGGATCACGAGATCGATTAAGGGACAGAGACTCTGTATGAACAAAACCCTAAAATTAAAAGAAAAACAAAAAAGTGCTCTGTGAGACTGCAGGCGCTGATTGGCTTGGGAAAGGCGAACTCCGGATTGGCCCGCACGCCGTGACGGGACTGCGCGGGAAACGGCCGGATCTGGCAGGCTGCAGACGAGCGCGGAGGTCCCTGGTGCTGCTGCGTCCTTCCGCAGTTACCATGAGCTGCATCAACCTGCCTTCGGTGCTGCCCGGCTCCCCCAGCAAGACTCGGGGTCAAATCCAGGTGCGAGGCGCGGGGCTCGGGGTGGTGCCCGATGGCCGCGTGGGGGGACCCCGACTGATCTTTTCTTCTCTCTTAGGTGATTCTCGGGCCCATGTTCTCAGGGAAAAGGTAATGCCTCCCTGGGGACCCCTGTCCTCCTCAGCTCTCCCCAGATGCCTCCTCCCGGGCCGGCCCGCGCCTTCCAGCCCCACATTCCTCTCTTCCCCTGCCACAGCTGGACACAGCTGGCTGCAGCCTAGCGCAGCCCCCTAAAATAAAAGCCCTTCGAAGGGGCGCCCGGGTGTGTCCCTGGGACTGCTTCCTTATGTGGCCTGGAACTTGCTTTCTTTCCCCTCCGGGACTCCCTGAGGCCGTGCAGCCCCTGCCACCATTCCCCCAGGTGAGAGGCCTTTCCCGGGACAGCTGGAGTAAAGGCCCCCGACCGTCCCTCCGGCTCCAACCCCTTGCTCGGAGCGGGAAGCTCAAGGTCAGACCTTGGGGCCCACAAACAAGCTTTTTTGGTTAATCCAGAAAAACCGAGCAGCTCTAGAAATGCTGCAGCCTCGCCCACCTTCTCCCCCTGGTCCCCGAGAGTCCTGCCTCTGAGGCTCGATCCGGGCCGGGCGCTGTTCTTGGCCCCGCGGTGAGCGCTGACTGCAGGCCTGGGGATGCTCGTCTGGGCGCGACTCGGATGGAGCCCGCCGTTTTCTCATTCGACGCTGTCTCTCCACTGCGCGTTCCGGGTTCGGGTTCCCGAGGCCCACCACTAGAGGGCGGTGGCCGTTCGCCTCGCTAATCCTGTCCCTTCCAGCACAGAGCTGATGAGGCGGGTCCGCCGCTTCCAGATCGCCCAGTACAAGTGCCTGGTCATTAAGTATGCCAAAGACACGCGCTACAGCAACAGCTTCTCCACACACGACAGGTCAGTCCTGCCCCTCGGGTCCTGTCCCAGGGAAAACCTCAGAGCAATTGAGAGGGGCTAATTGGTGATTCTGATTCCTGACAGCTTCAAATCCAGGCCTGGCATGGTAGCTCTTGCCTGGTGATGCTCAACAGAAGTAGGGAGGGATTTGCACCCCAGAGCCCACTTGACAAGTTTTGTTGTGTATAGTATCGGGAATCGAACTCAGGACATATGACAAGTTCTGGAGGCATCTTTAGTTTCAACCTGGAGGGGGACCAGGGTGTTCCTGGCCTGTAGTAGGCATTGATCGGGGGTGATTCCACACATCCTATGAGTCCCCACGCCTAGAATGTTGTGGCCGCAGACGCCGGTTGAACCTGCCCAGGTTGGACAACCTTGTTCTAGAGTTCACACCCGTCAGAGACCACAGGCTGGTTATTTGGCTTGCCCGCGGATTTTTAATTTCTTAGTCATCTGCTCTAGCTGGCTGCATCACCTTGTAGCCTTTATGCGCCTGGGTTTTGTTTTTCTGCCTGCAACCTCTGGGTGGGAGTTAAATAAAGTTCCTAGGCTGCAGATTTGGGGCCCCCACGCTGAGCCCAGGCAGTCTCCTCTGTCCTCTGGACTTGCCTCAGTGACACAGATGTCTGGGGTGGGGGCCTGGGAATTACTGAACCTGGAAGGGAGGTAGCGTAGAAAATACCCAGGACCTGAAGTATGCATGGGGATTCGAGCCACACGCATCATGGGTAAGCACCAGCTCACGGGTCCAAGTTCACTTCCCTGCTGCCCACTGCGCAGGATCGGGTGAGCATGCAGGGGTCAGTGGAGGCAGAGAAGGTGACCTTGTACAGTGGATATGGGGGTTGCTTCTAGAGGAGCCTGTATCTAAGAGCACCGCATGACTCACAAGCCTCTCTAACACTGGTGGCATTGTCAAGGCTCTGGAGACACCCTCGCCAAAGCCACAGCCGCCTTGCTGCTTGTCCTCCCTCTGGCCTTCCATATTTGGAGAGGGCATTAAAGTGTATAAATGTTTCATGTTCTCCTCGGATCTCAAGGTTTGTTATCACAAGACAGTAGTTGAGCACAGCTGTGAGCTACTTTAATTTTTTTATAAATACAGTCACAAACTGCCAAGCCTTCAAAGTTGTTTAACTCTCTCTGAAGTCTAATTCAGAAGATTAGGCAGAAATGAGAACAGAAGAAAATAACATTGAAACATAAACACTTTTTTTAAAAAAATTATAAAAACTATTTTAAAAGGCAGAGGCCACAGCATGGCATTTCTCTCTAGAAAAGTCCTGGCTGTGGGGATCAGGTGGGGTCTAGAGTGTCATCTGGTGGGCCTGGACCATTCCCATCCCTCCCTCCTACTTTTGACTCTGCTAGGAAAAACCCTTTCTCACTCAAGGCCTGGAATCAGACCAGTTGCCTCCTGGCTCTGCCCAAAAATAGCCTTGTGATCTTGGAGAAATCCTTTAACCTGCTGGGGGTGCCCACCTAGAGGAAATTCTAGGGTCTTGCTGGAAGCTGCTGTCCTAGTTGCAGAGGTGGGGCTCATGGACTGCCCAGAGCCATATTCTTTTAATTTGTATATTTGGTACAGAGTCTCACTACGCGGAGCTGGCAGGGCATGAGCTATCTCCCTGGCCCTTCCATTTGAGTTTTAAAAGAAATGGAAACATTTTATCAGTCCTTAAGAGTATCTTGGGCCCCAGTCACCATGAAGAATTCAGTCATGGGGTGGGGCTGTAGCTCAGTGGTAGGCCATTTGACAGAAATGCTAGAAACCTTGGGTTGACAGCAGGCATGGAAGGAAGAGTTGGCCTTGGCTGCCCCCACCGGCTGCTGCGCCAAGGCATAGGAGAGCTTGGAATCTACACTGAACTTCTTATCAGACATTGCTATTCTAGTCCAAAGGAGTGAGCAGGGTGTGGTAGCCCATGCCTGTAATTCAGCACTTTGAAAGGCTGAAGTGGGACAGTCACAGGTTCAAGCCCAGCGTGGGCAGTTCACGACCTAGCAAGACTATGTCTCAAAATAATAAATTAGGTCCTGGATTCAATCCCCAGTATGAGGTCGGGGAGATAGCTCAGTAGATTAAACACTTGCCTGGCAAGCACAAGGGCCTGAGTTCAATCCCCAGTTCCGCAAAAAAAACAAAAACAAAAAAAAAAGCAAAGTGTCAAACATCCACTTTTCTGCCCCTGGGCAAATACTGACTTCTCAGAGCTGGGCCGGGCAGGGCCGGGCCATGCTGCTGTGGCAGGAGCAGGGTGGCCATGACAGTGGCTGCAGCCTGCTCTCCGGCCTCGCTCATGCTCTGGCTTTCCTTTCAGGAACACTATGGAGGCGCTGCCAGCCTGCCTGCTGCGGGACACAACCCAGGAAGCCCTGGGGGTGGCTGTCATAGGCATCGACGAGGGCCAGTTTGTGAGTTGACTCATCCTGGTGTCTTCTTGGGAGCTCCCTCTCTGTTCCCCTTTCCTCTGCTGCTTTACACATTATCAATTTTTTCACATTATCAATTCTATCTCTGCTATTTTGTACTTCAGCTAGTATCTGGCCGGCATGGAATGCTCTGTAGCTTTAAGGTCAGGCCGCCTTTAATCCACTGGGGCAGGGGAGGGAAAGGGGAGCTGCTAGAGGGTCCGGAAACTGAAGACCACACATTAAAAACAAATGAATGAAACAACTCTAAGCCAGGTGTGGTGGTGCGCGCCTGTAATCCCATCACAGGGAAACTAAGGCAGGAAGCTCCTAAGGCCATGATCAGCCTAGACAATTTAGACCCCACCTCAAAATAAAATAAGCTCAGTGGCAAAGTGTCCTTAGCTTCAGCCCCCGGTGCTTGCATATGTCTGAGATAAGGATGGAGTGTGTTTATTCAGGGTGTATACCATGATAATTCAAGTATATTTCACTATTGAAATTTCTCACATAGTTCTTGCCCACAAGACTTGCCATCTTCCCTCTTTTTGGGTGGCCCTGGGTGATGGCGACCCAGACCCCTGGGTGACTCCCAGCTAGTCAGTGGGAGGATACAGACCCTGCAGAACTTCCTAGTATGGGGTTTTCCCTGCTGGAAGTCCGGTAAACACCCATGCTCAGCTGCTGGCTGGGGTTTGGGCGTGGTTCCCTGACTGCAGTCAGTCCCATACCCTGGGGGCGGAAGCTTGTTGAGTGGTTCTTTGCTAAGTGGTTAGTAGTCTCTGATCACCTGACTGCTGGTCAAAACCTGGGGGCTTGATCCTCGCCTCCCCCTCTACGAGTTATGGCTCCTGAGCCCTTCCTATGCAGGGGTGTGTATCCCCACCTGCACATGTGGGCCTTTTCCCTTTGATCTGGACTCCAGACTGCCAGTTGTTACTCTGGATTCTCAACCCTAGAGAGGGGTTGCAAGAGGGTGCGTGAAGGGCCAGCGAGATAGCTCAGTGGACTAAGCGCCTGCTTAGGCAAGCGCAAGTACCGAGGTTCAATCCCCGGCATCATGTGCTGTTCCAGCCCCACCTGTGGGTGCACTGAGCCGGCCACTGAGATGGTGTGGTGATGCACACCTGAGGCTGAAAGCAGGAGGATTGCTACAGTTCAAGCTGTGTATTGAAACCCTGTACCAAATTTTAAAAAAAGATGGCGCAGTGTTAGGCTGCAGAGAAAGAGCCTCTCTGAGAGTTGCATCCAGACACTAGAGTATAGCAAAGTGGGGAAAGACTAGGAGGAAAGTGAATCCCTTGTACCTAGGAAGGGTCGGAAGTGCAAACTGAAGCCCATGGAAACTTCAGTGAAGAAGAAGCAGGTGGCTGGTGTGCCTGAGGCAGGACGCACTGAGCGAGAGGAGCCCTTCAGACCTGTGAACACGGGGAGAGCGCTGGAGACCCTAGAGGCCTCCAGGGAGGGGAGCAGTAGTGGAGGGGAGCACAGGCATGAAGGACAAGCTGGTGGTGAGTGCTGAGGGCCCTGTTATCCCACAGGAGCCGTCTTGGAAAGATGCTGGCTGAGCTCAGAACTCAGAGCCACTGCTGGCTCCATCCAGCAGCTCCCAGCTGGGCTCAGGCCTGCAGAAGGGGTGCTGACGGCTGTAGGTCGCCAGAAGGTGCTGGCTTGCTTTTGGGTTTTTTTGTCTTTTTCTTTTTTTTTTTTTTCTTCAGAACCGGGGATTGAACTCAGGTCCTTGTGCTTGCCAGGGAAGCGCTTATTCCACTGAGCCATCTCCCCAGCCCCTGTCTTTTTCTTTGAGGCAGGTTCTGGCTATGCAGTTCAGGTTGGCCTTAAACTCACATTGTAGCCCACGCTGGTTTGAACTTGCAACGATCTTCCTGCCTCAGCCTCCAGAGTGCTGGGATTATAGACATGTGCCACCACGCCTAGCTCAGTTTGGTTTTTTGTTTGTTTTTCTGTTTTGTTTTTTTTCTTTTCCTTCTTCATTATTTGATCTTGTTTTTATTAGCATGAATGTGCTTCCTGTCCTCTTTGTGGCTATGGCTCTGTTCTGTTCTTTCTAGCCCTTCTCTCTTTCCCCCAGACTTGTGCACCAGTTTCCCAAAGTTAGCCTTACTTCTGATCTCTTCCTCTTCCTCTTCTCTACTTTCTCCATAACCCATTTAAAATTTTAACCACTGAGAGCAAAATTGGCATATTAAGGACTTGTACACTGCACACAGCTTTCTGGTTTGTTTTCATTGTGTTATATAACCACCCCTGATTCATACGATTAAAGGAGGCAGATTAATGGTTACCTCACTTTGTCGTTCTCTAGGCTGGGCCTTTGTTATTGGTACCACTATAGCCAAAAGTGGCATAATTATTCTAAACAGCTGATCTTCCTGGTATTCCAAGACTGAGACTGACTAAGGGTCACAGAAAATAATGTGGCATAGTACCGAAGAACCAGGGGGCTGGGCCAAACTCGCAGCAACTTCTCATCCCCAACAAAGGGAAGAGTAGGATCTTGCAGCTGACTCAAAAACCAAAATCCATTTATACCTTGAGGATAACTAGGAGAAGTAGCCATATCCTTTTTTTTTTTAATTTTATTTATGTGTGTGTGTGTGTGTGTGTGTGTGTGTGTGTGTGAGTGACCAGCTCAGCCCAGCAGGGGGCGGGGCTGGCTGGCATGTGGTGCTGGGGGATTGAACCACGGTCTCTGTGCTTTGCAAAGCTTGTTCTAAGTAGGTGCTTTAGACCACTGAGCCATCTCACCAGCCCCAAAGTAGCCATATCCTAAGGGCTATAAGTACTAGCAATAAAACAACCCACCTGGGGCCGGGGAGATGGCTCAGTGGAATAAGCACTTCCCTGGCAAGCACAAGGGTCTGAGTTCAATCCCCGGGGGAAAAAAAAAAAAACAACCCACCATAGTCAATTTACACCCATCTTGAGTGTGCCCAGTCAAGAATGTAAGGCTGAGGCAAGATCATTGTGAGTTCAAGACCAGCATGGGCTACAATGTGAGCTTAAGGCCAGCCTGAACTGCATAGCCAGACCCTGTCTCAGAAAAAAAAGACAAAAAAACAAAAGCAAGCCAGCACCTTCTGGCAGCCTGCAGCCCTCAGCGCCCCTTCCACAGGCCTGAGCCCAGGAATTAAACTGAAAAAAGAAAATGAGAAGACACTTAGATAGGATGCCACCCCAGACATTCAGCTCCCCGAGGGATCAGTGAGGTGGGACCATCCAGGAGCCACCCTGCTGGCCTCTCTCAAGTGGTAACAACAAAGCAATTGAATGAGGCTCCAAATGGAAAAAAAATCAGAAATAATTTCTCAGATAACTGCAGAGATGGTGTCCACAGTGAAAGCCCATGCCTAGTGACTCTAGAGCAGGTACAGACAAGAAAGTAGAGGAGCTTAAGAAAATTATGAAATCTGTGAATGTCCAGCATAGGAAAGAAATGGAATCCATGAAGCACAGTCAAGCAGATATCCCGGAGAATAAAAATTTCATTGACAGTATTCGCAGCAGAATGAGCCATCGTGAGGGCAGGGTCTGAGCTATAGAAGGCAGGCCTGTAGCTAGTGATCATGGAGAGAAAGACTTCTTAAAAATACCAAGGACCAGGCAACCCACTCGGGTCCCCTTCTGTCCCTTCTCTTGGACAGAAGCTTTCTTTCCCTCAGTAAATATATTCTGTTCTTATTCTCCATCGTTCCTAAAATTCATTCATCAATTTTAGAGAATACGAACTCAGCCCAGGTATTTTTCCGGTTGAGATTTTCTTTCCCCCGAAGTGGTTTGGCGCTACAAAATTCCTTTGAAAAGCGGGACCCCTTCTTTCTCTTTTAGATGCTTTCGTTGCCCAAAGTAAATATAGCTTTACCTGATAAATAGATTCTGCACTTGAAAAAAACAAATAGCAAGAAGCATAAGAAACCAATACAGCAGCTGCTAGATGATACAAAGGAGAATAAATCACAAGATTGATTGGAGTCGATGAAAAGTGTAGGAAATTGGGGCTGGAGAGATGGCTCAGTGGAATAAGCGCTTCCCTGGCAAGAGCAAGGGCCTGAATTCAATCCCCAGTTCCACCTAAAAAAAAAAAAAAAAAAAAGTCCAGGAAATAGCACAAATGATATACATTAAAAAAACTGTTCAGAGACATCATTTTCTTTCCTGGTAAAGAAAATGAATACAGAGAAGTGAGACAGACATATAGAACTCCTACAAGCCATGATAAAAAAATTTTAAAAAATTAAGTTAAATCTACAGCCTAGAATATTACAGACAAGATTTCAAAAATTCAACACATGAATATCATTTTACGCCTGATCTTAGCCAGAAGGCCAAGAAGTGATAAAAATAGAATATTAAAAGCTGTTGGGGCAAAGAAACAAAGCGCCTATAAAGGAAAGCCCACCAGAATCATAGCTGACTTCTCAGTACAAACCCTCAGGTCAAGGAGAGCTTGGAATTAAGTATTTGAAGCTCTAAAGGAAAACAATCTTTGCCCCCCACACACACACAAAAAAACAAAAACAATCCCTGGTTCCGCCACAAAAAAAAAAAAAAAAAATGGCGTTCAAAAAAAAAAAAAAAAAAAAAGCCAAAAACAATCTTCATCCCAGATTGATTGCCCTCAAAAATATCGTAACTGATGGAGAAACAAGACACTTTCATGACAAAGAACATCTGAGGAAATTTATGATCACCAAGCCAGCACTCCAGGATATTTTGAAGGACATTCTAGGAAGCAATAACAAGGACCACAACCTCATGAACCCCAACAAAAGAAACCTACCAGGCAAGGCAAACAAACAGGGTGGATTCGGAATCCCTGCAGCAGATGTTTGCTCACCCATCTTGAGTGTGCCCAGTCAAGAATGTAAATGGATGGGCCACGGAGATAGCTCAGTAGAGTAAGTGCTTGCCTGGCAAGCGCATGTCTTGAGTTCAATCCCTGGTTCCACCAAAATAATAATAATAATAATAATAATAATAATAATAATAATAATAATAAGTTGACATTGTCTTGTGTGTCTTGGGTTTTTGTTGTTGTTGTTGTTGTTTTGGTGGTCCTAGGGATTGAACCCAAGACCTTCTCACCGAGCTATATCACAGGTTTTTAATTTTTTTATTTTGAGGTAGGGTCTAGCTAAGTTTTAAGTTGCCTAGGCTAGGCCTGACCTTTTGATCCTGTTGCCTTAGCCTCCGCATTGCTGGGGTCCTTCTAGTCTTTGGTGTGTGGCCGTACCGCTGAGCTCTAGCCCCTGCTCTTTGGTGTGTTCTTACCAAGTGGCTCATAGCACTGCTGAGCTCTTTATGTTTATAGCGGGTTCAGAACAGCCTTAGGTGTTGACTCAAGAGGCCCCTGTGACAATCAGGTTCTAGAGGCCCCACCCTCAAGTTTGCCTTTGTCAGATGGTGGTGGCTGCTAAGGATTAGAGGGCAAAGGCCGAGAAGGAGTGGAGAATTGTTGCAGGGAGGATGCTCTAAGGAGACAGTTTGAACAGGACTTGAAGCCACTAGGAGCCACCAGGAGCCTAGGTGACCCCAGCAGGAGCCATCCAGGTGGAGGCAGCCAGGCCACAGGGTTGCAAAGACCAGGAGAGGTAGGAGGTTGTTTAGGGTTGGCCTGGGCTGGCCATGGGCCCAGGAGAGCGTGGTGAGACCTGCTGGATCTTTGCAGAGGTCTCCAGGTGGAGGTGGCCTGCTGTGGTAATGGATGGCATATGGCCACACATGCATGTCTCTGACTGCGTTTTTTTTTTTTTCTTTCCTTCGGTACTGAGGATTGAACTCAGGACCCTGCGCTTGCCAGGCAAGTGCTTATTCTCCTCAGCTATCTCCCTGGCCCTGCATTTCTTTTCTAGGCCCGTTGGCTATTTTTCCCTTTTGTAAGTCACGTCTTCATGGTTTCCACCTTCCTTTCCCCTCCCTCCTTTTTGATGGTCAGCACTCCATGGGCCTGCTGTGACTATCTCTCCATTTATTTGAATTTTGTTTGCGCCAGTTGACTTAGTCTCTCACCACTGGGGAATTTGTTGCCTCGCTTTGTTACATCGTCACCTTTGCCACAGGGCCTTGAATGCCAAGAAGCAGAGGCCTCCCCTGGGCAGAGCCAGCGTTCATTCTGGCCGCTGTGTGAGCCAGCTGGCCCCTAGCAAAGTGCCGTAGAAGATGACAGTCCGTTCCTCGGCTTCCTAATCTTGCCTTTGGGTTCCCTCCATCTCTTCAAAACTAACTTGTGTAGCAGAGCTGGGAAGTGGGTGGCACCTGCCTGTAAGCCCAGCTCCTAGGAGCCTGTGGCAGGCAGGAAGATCCCGAGTTCTGGGCAGGCCTGACTGCAGGTATTCAGGAGGTACGGAAACCGCTGATGAGCTCTGGTGGGCAGACTTGCGGGCTCCTCGCTGCTTTTCTGCATGCCTGGGTCCCGCACTGAAGTGACGTATCTACCAAGAAAGCCCCGAGTTCCTGTTTGTTTTTTTATTTAGGCTGTGCTGGGAATTAAATCCTGGGCCTTATACATGTCAGGCAAGTAGTCTAGCACTGAGCTACAGCCCCAGCTCTTCATAGCACTTTACTTAGGGACAATCTAAGTTGCTCCAGCTGGCCCCAAGCTTGCCATCCTTTCTTCAGCCTCCCAAGCATGCAGAGGTGTGCACCATGGCACCCACTAGCTGTACCTCAAATGGACCCTGCCGTGAGCTCCCAGGGCTGCCCTAACAGCACTGCAGATGGGGCCTTGAGCGAGAGCTTTACTGCTTGCTCTGGAAGCTCTAGGGCCAAGATCCACTGTGAGCAGGGCCATGAGGGAGGGATCTGGGCCTCTCCCTGGCCTGGAGTAGCTGCCCCCTTCCTGGTGGGACAGCATGCAGCTGTGTTGTCGGAGGGGTCTGGACAGTGGTGGGCAAGTGCACCACCCACAGCTGGGAGGACCTGTAGATGGACCCCAGGCCTGGGCAGCCTCAGAAGCCCAAGTGACCTTGTTCTCAAGCTCCACACTGATCTGCACTGTCGAGTGAGTCAGGCCAGCTCTGACAGTGCTGCCGCTCTCTTCCTCCACCCCCACCCGCCCCCACTTGCAGTTCCCTGACATCGTAGAGTTCTGTGAGAGTATGGCCAACAGCGGGAAGACGGTGATTGTGGCGGCCCTGGACGGGACCTTTCAGAGGAAGGTAAGGCACGTGGGCGCTGGGGGTCGATCAGGAGGGAGCAGGTGCCTCAGTGGCACAGGCCACTGGTGTAGCCCTTCCCTGCCACCACACAGCATCCTATGATGGCCAAGCCTCAGCCACAGTGGAGGACACTGCCTGAGCCCGGGGGCTCCTGGCTCTGTCCAGACAGGATGCCATCTGCTGTGGGCAGATGCTGTGAATCCAGAGAGGGACAGCGCTGTACACCCAGGGAGGAAAGGTCAAAGTGAAAGTTCCTCTTCAGTGCTCCTGGATCAGAGGTGTCAAACAGCATGGCCCCACATCCGAGCACACCTGTGCCCTCCCTTGCCTGCAGGCTTTTGGCAGCATCCTGAATCTGGTGCCCCTGGCAGAAAGCGTGGTGAAGCTGACCGCTGTGTGCATGGAGTGCTTCCGGGAAGCTGCCTACACCAAGAGGCTGGGCCTAGAGAAGGAGGTAGGGCTGCCTGCTGCTGCCTCAGGTGGGTGTGGGTGGGCGAGGCTGTGCCTGAGGGCCCTTCTTACACCTATGGACCTTTCCTCCTTTCCTGCTACCAGGTAGAGGTGATCGGTGGAGCAGACAAGTACCATTCCGTGTGTCGCCTCTGCTACTTCAAGAAGTCCTCGGTCCAGAACATGGGGCTGGACAAGGAAAACTGCCCGATGCTGCCAGGGGAAGCCCCAGTGGCCAGGAAGCTCTTTGCCCCTCAGCAGGTGCTACAGTGTGGCCCTGGCCTCTGAGGGCCCCCCATGGCCCTGTGGAGCAAAGGCCCTCCCTCTTTGCCTACCCACAGGCCTCTGTCCCTACCCCAGCCAGGCCTCATGGTTTGGGGTCCAGTCTCCTCCAGGCCGTGGGCAGAGCCACATGCTGTTATGACACTGGTGCTGCTGGCCGCTTCCCCCTTTGTGGCTTTCACGAGTTTCTGTTCTCCCTGGGATGTCTGTGCCAGTGCCCCAGAGCCCCACCTCGCACAGAGGCTCCCGTTATCCACTCAGGACATCTGGCCTGGTGTCCCCTGCTCCCTGTTGGGCTGAAATCCATTCTTACGCTCCAGCTCAAGCAGTGGTGGTTTCTCCAGAAAAATGTCATCTTTCAGGCACCGTGCTGTGGCATGGCTGCAGGGGCCTGGCCACCCAGAGCTGGCCCCTTGAAGGGGAAGGTGGGCCTGGGGAGGTAGCTCAGCTGCACAAGCACCTGCCTGGTGAATGCAAGGTCCTGAGTTTGATTCCCAAGACCAAAAAATAAAAAGAGGAAGGTGCTCGTGGCTCTGGGCCCTGCCTCTTGCTGCACTGCTTTGATGTTGATGGCCAGTATTAAGTCAGTAGCTGACAAAGCCACATTTCACTTTTTTTTTTTGTATTGGGAATCAAACTCAGGACCTGACACTTGCAAGACAGGTGCTGGACCACTGAATTATGTCCCTGACCTAAATTTGACCTTTTTTTTTTAAATCAAACTTGAGGACCTTGCACTTGCCAGGTAGGCATTTAAGCCACTGGGCTATATCCTTGGCCCTTCTTAGGGCAGGGTCTCGCGCTGCAGTTCAGGCTCACCTTAAGCTCACTTTGTAGCCCTGGCTGGTCTTGAGTTCGCAACAGTACTCCTGCCTCAGCCTCTCAAACGTTGGGATTGCAGGCTTGAGCCACCACATCCAGCACCAATTTTGGCTTTTGCCTGGTGTCCCAGTCTACACTGCTGCCCCATGAAGAGTGGGGGTCTCACACAGATTGTATTCTAGAACCTGCTTCTGACCCAAGCCTATTTATGAGAAAAGAAAACAAGGACCTTGTCCTACGAGAACAGTTGCCTGCCTTGTCTGGTTTTAGGGATGAAAATGGTGAAGGAAACTAGGCTGCAGGCTGGAAAGGAAGCCCAGGTGTCAGTGGGGTTGTCAGCAGGGGCTAGGAAGTGAAGCTGTTTATGGAGCTGACACTAGATAATTTGGGGCCCAAGGAGTGAGCTCAGCCGCTCATATCACAGAGGCAGGTGCCTGGGCATGGCCTGTGCTCTGGTCCACGCTGCGCCTGTATGCCTAGTGCAGAAGCATCAGCATTCAGGGCGACCCGTCCTCTAGCCTCTGCTGGGTCCCATCTGCTGAAGCCTAGAGCTCACGGGCACTGGGAGGGACCTGTTCTGTGCCTGGTGTTCCCTCGAAACTCTGGGCTCCAGACAGTTACAAAAAAGAAGCTAAGAGTTGCTTCAGGGCCTGAGGGCCCATTTTCCCCAGGCCCTTGCCTAGGAAGGGGTCCCGAGGTGCTCTCAGCTCTTGACTGGTTGAGTGGGATATCCAGGCTCACCCTTTTCTGTCCCCTTATACCCAACATACAAGGAAAGGATTACGGAAGGGGGTTTTCAGAGAGACAGCCTCCAGGTGCGGCCCACCCTCTCAACACTAGGAAGGCAGCAGCCTGACCCAGCAAAGCAGGCCATAAAACCTGCCTTGTTTACAGGCTGAGCACACTGGCTATTTTAGGTGTTGGTTGGGAGTGGGGGAGGGAGATGCCACATCAAGACTTCAGAGTGCAGTACCAAAGATAGCCCCCTGGGGGCGCACCTGAGGAGTTTGACCTGCCACCTTTAGGCCAAGGCCCAACCCAGGACACTGGGAACTGAGAAAAACATTTATTCCATCTCCAAACTAGTCTAACAATCCAAGGGCAAGGGGCATCTCCCCCTGAGGCTTTTTAATACATTCAGTCTGAGGACTGTGGCTCTCCCCTATACTTGTAACCAAAGTGGCAGAATATTTACATAAAGCTGGGTGTTCAGTCAGGCAAAGCCCTGCCCCACCGCCAGGGAAGGAGCAACAACAAAGTGCCATAGGACCCCCAGGCAGGCACCAGCCCCATATCTGCGGCTGTTGGGAAGCCAGCCTGGAAGTGATTGGCACAGAGGTGGAGACCCTCAGGGGACACGGCACAAGCCCAGGCTGAGTAGGGCATGGCGGGGGGCTGAAGGCACAGAGGTGGAGGTGGCAGACCTGAGTGAGGAGCTGGGGGCCCCAGCCGAGCCCTGACAAGAGCCAAGGATGAGGCCCTGACCCCCATCTTTGGCAGAAAGCCCAGCTAACCAGCTGTCCTTGTGAGGCTGACGCTAAGGCACTTGCCAGAACAGCACATCGTGGGCACCTGTCTGCACCTGGCCACTTCAGGCAGCACAGGACCTGGGGTGCAGCTCAGCGGCAGAACACCCACCTAGTATGTGCGAGGCCCTAGGTTCCATCCCCAGCACCGAGGGAGGAGAAAAAAAGCAATAAAAAAACATCTAGCTAACCTTTCCTCAAAAATGCCCTTGAAGAATGTGTGTGACTGAAGTGCCTTCCGAAGCAGGCACCTGGGTGCTGCTGGGCAGAGGAAGGCTGAGGCACTCCAGGCGTCAGCAGGGACAGGAAGGGGGCTGTGGCTCCAGGGGGCCTTGTGGGGAGGCCCAGAGGAACAGGGCGCCCTGCCCTGCCCTGCCCTGCAGTGCCACTCAGTACACAGGGGGTGGTTGGTAGCCCTCAGTGGCATCTGTGTTCTGGGTGAAGGGCGGCTGCTGGTAGTTGTCCACCGACGCACTGGGGTAGGAGGCATAGGCTGTGGTGGGGTCCGGGGTGGGGTCCACGTAGTTCTGGAGGAAGTCATCCACTCCAGCCTTGTAGCGCTGGTAGGCCAGGGAGGCCAGTGTGCCCTGCAGGGAGATTTGAGTTGGGACAGTGCTCAGGGTGCTGGGTGGAGGGTTCATGGCTGTGCCTGAGGACATGGACACTGAACCTAGCCCCAGCCTACTCACCCAAGAGAAGATGGAGAAGAAACTGAAGGTGATGGCTGCCCGTGCTGAGTCAGCTCCCACCAGCACCTGATCAGGACTGGTGGCTGCCCACTGGTTGGTAAGGAAGCAAAAGCCAACAAACCACAGGAAGGTCCAGAGAGCTGGGAAAACATGGGGGAGGGAGGTTGGCTCAAGGGAGATGGGGGCTTTCCAGGGACTCAGAAAGGACAGCTCTAAGGCAAGGATCTCCCAGAGACAGGGATATGTGAACTGTAGAACCAGAGGTAAGAACCAATGGGGTGCCCAAGACAGGAGGGATCTGCCTCATGCCCCACACAAGGGCTTATTCAACTGAGCTATCTCCCCAACCCAACCAAAGGTTTTAATCACAAGGCCCCAATGTGCCCCTGGCTCGGGTGCCTGTCCTAAGGGTTAGGACAGAGGCATTGCAGGTGGATACCTGAGAAGAGCAGGTCACCAATGACCAGGTACTTGCGGTCCGTGGCGTTGCTGATCTGGGGGAAATAGATGTCCACTACGAAGAAGAAGCCTGAGGCCAGAAAAGCCAGCACCCCAATGGCGGAGCCATATCGGCAGGCATCTTCATTGTGGTTGAACACACAGTACAACTGCTCAGAACTGGGTGTGTTGCTGTAGCCCTCACCGAAGATGCAGGAGAACACGATCAAGGCAAAGACCTAAAATGGGGAGGGTGTAGGGCAGTGAGTGCCACCTGGCCGACCCCCAGGGCCACCGCTGCCTTTCCTCTATACTGCCTGGGGAGGGCAAACGGCACACTGCTCATGGTCATCAGACCACGGTCTCCCACCACAAGGGCCCTGCCGGGTATTCCTGGGCTGGAGAAGGTGGGGACTGGTGGGGAGCTCCTGGGAGGGAGTCCCCTTTCAAAGAGGCCTGTCTGCACTGGTACCTTTTTTTTGTTAAGACTCATGATGGGGACACAGGGCAATCTGCCCAACCCTACTTTAAGTTTTAAACAACACAGGCTACAAAGTGTGAGTCTCACTGGCTCCCACCTTACCATCTGGTTCAGGAAGCACCTCGACTTTCCCAACTTCTCCCAAGCACCCTGGTATAGGGCACCCCCGTCTCTGGCAAGCCACGCCAGGGCCCCCGGGGGCTCTTGTGTCTCCCAGCCCCCTCCCAGCAACAGCCCTGGCCCCTCTAGCTCCTCCCTGGTCCAGGCTTGAATCCCCAGTCCTGCCAACTTCCTCCCTACAAGAACTTCCGCCTCCCTGGCATCCTGGTCCCTCCCCTCCCAGGGAGCTCCAGCCTCCCTGTTGCCCCACAGAGGGTCCTGACCACACTAGGTACCCCAGGTGGCCTGGCCACAGGGCAGACAAGGCCCTATGCTCCCAGCCCTGGAGCAGGGCTGGGAGCTTGGGGAGAGGTGAGGGCTGACCCTCTGAAATGCCCAGAAGGACTCCAGCCCCTGAGAATACACCATGTCTCGTAGCTTCCTCCCCAAAAGTCAGAGGCACGGTCCATGCCCAGCAGATGTCGGTAGATTCAGAGGAGTCTGCAGCGGGTACTAGGGTCCCTCTGAGACAACTCCCAGGACCCTGCGGTGCCCCTGATGGAAACTCAATAGGGTTCTGGAGCCGCCCGTCACAAGCCCCACCCCCGACTGGAGATGAAGCCGGAACTCCGCGTGCTCGCAGGACTCCTGGCACCGCCGTCCCGACCCACAGGGCATCTGGGCCAAGGCCGTAGCCCGGGGCAGCCGTCGGACCCCAGTCAGGTTGGGGTCCCCAGGTAGGCTGCTCTGGGCGCGGCAGGCCACTCTCCCTCAGCCTGGCAGCGATCGCCTATCCCCCCTCCTTCCCGCACCTGGTACCAGAGCGCGGGCCAGGGCGTGGGGCGGGCACACAACCCCGGCCGACTGCTAGGTGGGAAGGGGTGCCCGCCGCACCCCATGTGGCTTCCGAAACCCCATCCCGGGGAATCCCCCACGCCAGGATCCGCGGCGCGCCGGCCACCTGCTCCCGAGTCGCCAGCGCCTGCCCCGCCAGCAGGGCGACAGGCCTGGTCCCGTGGGCCCGACTCCGCGTCAGGGCGGCGGGGCCCGGGCCGGGAGGGGGCGGCGGGCCGGGCCCAGAAGGCCGGGCGGGGACGCCGGCCGCCGCCACCTGTCGCGCTCCGGCGCTGGTGGCCCGGCCCGGCGGAGGAGTCCCTCGACCCCGGACGCTCGCCCCGGCTCACCATGCACACGGCGCGCACCACCACCTGCGGCTGAGTCAAGAAGCGCCGCAGGTCGAAGGAGCCGCCCGCCTTGGCCGCGCCATAGGCCCCGCTCTCCATGTCGCCGTCGCCTGCCGCGGCCGCGGAACGCAGAACCCGCCGGCCGGCCGCCCGCCCCAGCCGCCCCGCCCCGCCCCGCCCGGGCCGGCCGCGGGGCGTGGCCTCGCCCCAGGGACCGGGACCAAAGTGCGGCCTCCGAGCCACGGCGTTGGGGTCGGCCCCCGGGGAAAGGGACGGACTCTTCGGAGAAGCCCGGCTGAAGCCGGTTTTGACCCCCGCCTGCCCAAGACGCAGACTCATCCAGCACCTCGGCCCCAGCACCCCAGCCCTCTCAAAGCCTCACCTGCCTGTGCCTGTAATCCCAGCACTTCTGGGAGCTGAGGCGGGAAAATCTCAAGTTCGAACCCAGCCTGGGCAATTTACCGATTTAGCAAAACTCTTAATATAAAAAAATTAAGGGCTAGGGGTGTTGCTTCATGGGAAAAGGCATATTAGAGGTCATAGGTTCGAACTCCAGCTCCACAGGAAAAAAAAAAATATATATATCCCAGTCCTTATCCTGGGCTCCACTCCTGGACTATCACTCATCCATCCCCTCTGAGGTGAGCCTGCAGTGGGGTGGAGGTCCCACCACCACTTTCCCGTTCTTCCTGGGCTGGGCCGGTCCCAGGCTATGGCTGGCCCACAGGCTCACTAGTACTCAGACTGAAGTGAAACAGGCCCCAGGGCAGAGAGCTCAATCCAGTTCCACCCCAAAGGCCCAAAGCTTCAGGTGCCTTGAAGGCCAATCCTCACCTGGTGAAGGTGTCCTGGAGTGACTCTCAGGGCCACACCCTGCACCCAAGGAGGAGCTAGACTCTAGGGTGAGCAGGGTTCCACAAGAACCGGCAGGCCTTTTTCTTGTCTTTTCTCTGGGGGCAGGGGGTGGGGGCGGGTGGGGATGCAGCAAGTTTAAAATACTGTCTATGTAGACCAGGCTGGTTTCACACTCAAGCTATTTCTGCTTGCATGCCCTGAATGCTAGCATTACAGAACACACCCACAGCCTGCCCCCTGCTGCCCCAGCCCTTTCACAAGATCTCACTAAATTGCCCAGGCCAAGCTCAAAAATGTGAAAATGTGATCTTCCTGCTTCAGCCTTCTTTTTTTTTTTTTTGTCATTAAATTTAGTACTTTGTGGAGTGTGGTGGCACATAACTGGAATCCCAGCGTTCATAAGGCTGAAGAACTGCCTTGAGTTCAAGGCCAGACTGGACTATGTATGAAGTTAGACTTTTATCTGAAAAAACAAAAAATAAACATAGATTTTGCAATTATTTTTATTCTCAGGGGCCGGGGAGATGGCTCAGTAAAATAAGCACTTCCCTGGCAAGCACAAGGGTCTAAGTTCAATCCCCGGTTCCGCCAAAAAAAAAAAAAAAATATTTTTATTCTCCCATTACTCCACTTTTCCTGTTCTTTCCTTTCCTTTTCCTTCTTTCTTGTTTGTTTTGTGTGTTGGGAACAGAGTCTCACTAGGAAGTCCAGCCTGGCTTTATACTCATTTTGTGGCCAGGCTAGCCTTGAACTTGTGATCCTCCCTCAGCCTCCCTAGTGCTAGGATTTCAGACATACACCACCCTGCCTGGCTAAAGATAAATGTTATTGTGTATGTTTAAGATGAATGTCTTGCTGTTATTAGATGCACACATAAAAAGGTTCCTGCAGTGGAGCAAACCAACATATCCCTCATCTTAGTTACCCAAATTTTTGTTTTGTGGAAACAGCAGCTAAGAGCTACTCCAGGGCCCAGGATGTAGCTCAACCGCAAGACACCTGCTTGGCACACACAAGGCCCTAGGTTCGATTCCCAGTACCAAAAAGTAAAATAAAATTTAAAAATAAAAGCTCTTCGGTTAGCTTGAGTCCTACACACAGAACAAGTCTATCACCCAAGTCCTTGCAGGCTCCTGCATCCCACACGACTGCCGCTGTCTTCTCAGACCTTTTCTCTCCCCCGGCTTCACTTCACCCCAGAAGAGGGTCCTTCCGAAGGGCACAAGGTCAAGGTGGAATCCTGGAGCCTACATCTTCCACTCACAATCTGGACCACAAAGTAGTAGATTCTGAGGTCAACGAACTCAGCCAGCCCCTCCCATAGCCTTTGCAGGGCAGGTGGCTGGGCACACGCGCAGCCCAAGGAGACAGTTCCCCAGCTAAGGAAGGGGCAAGCGCTTGCCTCATGTGCACAGCGAGGCAGTTCTCTGTGCCCCACTTTACAGAAGGGAGCACTAGGCCTAGATAGGTGACAAGGGTCATCCTTGAGCCTGGCCTCTGCAAAGGACAGACTTGGTGACAGAGCCAAGGCAAGACAGGTGCCAAGATGGGAAGTTGAAGGAGGTGGGAGTGGCCACTACCTAAGGCCAGACCTACCTGGGGTCACACAACACAAAGATCCCGTCACTGTACGTGTCAAGGAGGTGATGGCCTTGGAGAGGGGATCCTGCCTCCTGCCACCACCTGGGGAAGGCTGACAGTACAATTCGGGGAGGACGGAGGCTGGCCTCCAATTCTCAACCTCCTGAGTGCTGGCATCACAGCATATGTCACTGTGCCTGGCTTAGTAAATGTCCTGGAGTGGGGGCTGTTGGGCCTTTTCAGCCCAGGTGGCAGCCCTGCCCCTCTGGCAGTTTCCCTGCTCTTCGACCCCCGGCACGCACTGCCTACCTGGTGAAACCCAGCATCACGGAGGTCATCGCTGCAATGGAGATGAGGCTGCCAGCCAGCACGAGTGCAGGTCCCTGGGGCAGCTGTCCTGTGTGGGTAAGGGAGGTGGCCAGGTTGGGCTTCCTTTGCAGGGGCCAGGGGCGGTGGGCTGCCTGCTGGGATCCCCTCCAGGGCAGTTAGCACCGCCCCCTCCCAGCCCAGCAGTGCCAGCTGCCCCTCTGGACACCAAGTGGCTCTCTCACCTGGAGGCACCAGCGTGAAGGCGCTGCTCTGGACACCAACACTGTTTTCAGCCTGGCACTGGAACCAGCCGGGCATGGGGGGCAGCGGGAAGGAGAAGTTGGCGGGCTGCCCGTGGGGTGGCCTCTTCTGCATGTGGACCTGCCCGTCCTTGCTGACCAGGCGGTAGGTGATGGGTGGGCTGCCTGAGGGTGCCCAGCAGGACATCTGTGCCCTGGGGGCTGACCCTCCACCATGCAAGGTGACATTAGCCTGCAGCTGGGACACTGGCTCTGGCAAGGTGGGAGACAGTAGCACAGGTGTGGCTGGGAGATTTTAATTCCTTCCCTGGTAAATTCCCATTATGAGATGCTTAATGAACCTGGAAGTGTGGCTTGGACTGTCCCCTCACGCAGCTGGCCAGAGTGTCCCACCAGGCCCTCGAGCCTACTTACAGTGGGCACTGTTCAATTTTACTTTTGGTTTTGGTTTTGGGTAGTATATTCCAGTTGCCAGACTTACCAAATAAAAATACCCATTAAACTTGAAATTCAGATAAACAATTAATGTTTATGAGGGTCAGACAAATAGCTCAGTGGATTAAAGCTTCTGCAAGCAGGCACAGGGGCCAGGGGTTTGATCCCCGGGCCTGCCGTGCCGGCCCCACCCTCGGGGGCGCACTGAGATGGTGATTGAGGCTGGGCATGGTGACATGCGCCTATAATCTCAGCTCTTGGGAGGCTGTAAACAGCTGGCTCACTACGAGTCCGATCTAGTAGTAAGACCCTGAACACCCTGTGGACCCTTCCCTAAAATACAAAATAAATAAATAAATAAATATATAAATAATGTTTTTGTTTTTCTTGGGACAGGGTTTAGCTATGTAATTTAGGCTGGCCTTGAACTCACTAAGTAACCCACACTGGCCTCAAACTCTTGGTGATTCTCCTGCCTCAGCCTCCTTAGTGCTAGGATTAAAAGCCTGCGGGGGGGGGGGGGTGCTGCCCATTAGCTCAGCTGTTTAAGTGCCTGCTTAAAAAAAGCAATGAGGCTCAAGTTGCACTGGTTCGAACCCAGATACTACAGCCAAACCAGAAATGTCCTGAAGGCATGTGCAGGCCTCCAAAAAACAAAAAACAAAAACAAAAACCATGTACCACTACACTTGACTGTAACAGTGAATAATTTTAAAATTGCTGTATGTCCTGTGTAAACTTTTCTCTGATAACTATAATTTTACAATTATGGAAGGACATTGTTGCAGGCTAAGCTTCTGCGCTTCTAGGCTAAAAAATCAAAGTGGAGCCATGCATAATGAGGTTCCAGGTCACCACACTAAAACAGAACGCGTTAGGGCCCTGCTAGACAGCACGCTGCCTCGAGCTACTCCTCTAGGCCGCCAGCCTCCTTCAGCCAATGCTGTATTCTGCCCCTGACTTTTCCAAGAAAGATAACTTTGAAGTGACCATTTCACCTTTATCCTTTGCCCTTGCTTTATGTGGCCTTTCTCTGTCTAGAAAACCAAGCTCCTGGGGCTGGCGGAGCAGCTCCGGGGCAGAGCGTGCCCTCAGCACGCACAAGGCCCTGGTTCTGTGCCCTGCACCACACGGGAAGGGAAAAGGCCAGCTTCCGCTCAGCTCACCAGAGCACTTACTCTGTGTTGTGGAATGAAGCGTTGCCTGATTCTAGAACAAAAACTAAGGTCCATTAAGATCAACAAACTAGGATAGGGGCTGTAGCTCGCTGGGGGAGCTGTTGCCTGGTGTGCACAGTGCCCAGCCCTGCCACCTACTAAATACACCTCATTCAGTCCCTTCTATATCCCCAGAGATGGCCTTTTTCATTTTCTTTTCTTTCTTTCTTTCTTTCTTTCTTTCTTTCTTTCTTTCTTTCTTTCTTTCTTCTTTCTTTCTTTCTTTTTTTTTTTTTTTTTTTGCATATTGAGACAGGGAACCCATATCTTGGATCCCAGGCTGGCCTCCAACTCATGATCCTCCTGCCTCAGCCTCCTAAGTGCTGGCCCTATGACGACAGGCATAGCTACCATGGCCGACATTAGGGCCCTATTATAAGCTTTGCAGAAGCAGCAGCCTAGGCCTTGAGGTTGAGTGACTCATGCTGTACCCCACAACTCATGGGGGGCTCTGAATCCTGCTCCTTCAGGCCCCAGGCCTGGGTACCTCCCCCTCAGGCTGCCTCTCCTCCTTCTGTGGGCAAAGAGCAGATAGGAGTCCTGATCCCACAGTAGGTGGGCAGCGCTTCCTGTACCTACCAGGGACACTGTGCAGATTGGAGCAGAAGTGGAGAAAGTGGAATTGTAAGGACAGAGTGGGATTTGAGGCGGGATTTGGTGTGGGACAACTTCCTGGGCCTCGAAGATCTTTGGCATCTGCAGCCTTGACACTGAGATCCCTGGAGAAGGGCACCCAGCTTATCAGCATCTGCAGCCTCCCTGCCTCCCTCCCCTTCCCAGCCTCTCTCTGCTCTACAGCTCCAGCGGGAGACTGAGTCCCCAGGGTCTGGTCCCACAGCACTGACCGCAGCCTGGAGGTGGACGTTGGTCTTTAACCTCACTTCTCCCTGGCCCTCCCTGACTCCCCTTGGTGCCCACAGTCCACCCGGGCTCTGGACGCTGCACTCACTGGCCCACAGCTCCCAGTACATCTGCAGCTTCGTGCTGCTCCAGCGCAGGCCAGACTGGGAAGCTGCCTGGCAGGAGTAGGTGAGCAGGTCTGGGCTGGACTTGAGCGTGACGTTGATGCTGAAGGAGGCGGGCTGGTGCGTCCACATCACCTTGCTGCTCACCGAGATGCCCTGGCTGGCGAAGAGGGAGTAGGTGACTGGTGGAGGCGCTTGGGGTGCGTGGCATGTCAGGAGAATTAGGCGACTTTGGGGGTAAACCTCCAGGACTTTGTAGGCTATGGAGATTCCTGGGGGGGGGGGGGTGAGACAATCAGAACAGGAAGAAAGAAACTGAAATCAATGAAGCACCTTAAGAAAATGCTTGGGTTAGCAGTTCTTCAAAGTGAAACAAATCAAACTGAGACTCAGCAATTCCACTGCTAGACATGCAGCAGGAAAGCTGAACACAAGTGGGCACACGTCCATGTGGTACGAGGCACCGGAACCAAGAGGCGGACACGACTGAAGGGATAGACAGCATGTGGCGGTGGGAAGCCCAGCACTCTGGGAGGCTGAGGCAGGAGGACTGAAGTTGGAGCCTTGCCTGGTGATCTAGTGAGACCCTGTCTCAAAATAAAAAATAAAATGGCTGAGGATGCAGCCCTGCAAAGGCCCGAGGTATAACACCCAATACTGTAATCAAACCAAACCAAACACGCCTACGGTGGAGCCATGCAAAGAATATTATTTAGTCTTAAAGAGTAACATGGGTTGGGGCTATAACACAGTAATGAAGCACATACTCAGGATGTGAAAGGTCCTAGGTACAATCCAACACAACACAATAAACAATCACTGGAGCTGGAGAGATAGATTGGCGATCTAAGTGCATGCTTGGCAAGTGCAAGGACCTGGGTTCGATCCCTGGTACTGCATGCCGCGCCGGCCCCACCGTGCCAGCCCCGAAACCAGGCGTTATGATGCACGCCTGTAATCCCAGCACTGGGGAGGCTGAGACAGGAGGATCACTATGAGTCCAAGCTATGTAGTGAGACCCTGTACCAAATAAATAAATAAATATTTAATAAATAAGCAATCACTACACATGCTATAACATAGATTATCATAGTTTCTGGTAAACCTGACCCAGAGAACAATGATTATTTAAGTCCATTTATGTACCGAGTCTACAATAGGAAATTTCAGAGGCAGGAAGCGGACTGGTGGCTCGGGGGATGGAGGGAAAAGTGGGCAGTCACTGTGAGAGGGTACAGGGTTTCCTTGTAAGGTGTTGAAAATGTTTTGGAATCAGGTAGATACGGTGATAGCCCAACATGGTGAATGTACTGAAAGTCACTATTAGCACTTCAAATGGTTAATTTTTGTAATCCCAGTGCTAGGGAGGCCGAGACAGGAGGATCACTAGGAGTTCAAGGCCAGCCTAGGTGAGTTTAAGGCCAGCCTGAACTGCATAATGAAACCCTGTCAAATAAAAACATTAATCTTCTATTATGTAAATTTCCCCTTTTTTTTTTTTTTTTTTTTTTTGGTGGAACCGGGGATTGAACTCAGACCCTTGAATTTGCCAGGGAAGTGCTTATTCCACTGAGCCATGTCCCCGGCCCCTTTTTTACTTTTTTTTTTTTTTTTTGTAAATTTCACCTGACACCCCCCACCCCCCAAAAAAAAAATGCTGGAGAAAGGCTGTCTCCTGTATTCAACCCTTTTCTGCCCAGAATATTCTAGTACAAGAAACCATGAGAGTTGGACGTGATGGGCAGGCCTACAACCCAAAAAGTCCATGAGGCTGAGGCAGGAGAATCCCAAGTTGAATCCCAGCCTGGGCAATTTAGTACCCAACCAGGCCCGTACTCAAAATTAAAAGGGTGAGGATGTAGCTCCGTAGCAAAGCCCTGGGTTTGATTGCCAGTATAAAGAAGAAGAGGAAAAGAAAAAGGAGGAGGGGGAGGAGGAGGAGAAGAAAGGGGAGCGGACATGATACACATACTCAGGTAGGCTTGAAAGCCTGGAGAGGCAGGCAAGGACACAGGTGAGAAGGCCAAACCCTGGATCTGCCTCTGGACAACCAGCCTTGCCCTCTGCAAACTGTAAGGGGGCAGGCACACACACGCCGCGGCTCCTGTCATGTCACTGTCTCTGTCCCAATAAATTGACTATTTGTTGGCTGAGTAACTCACTTAAATCCAAAGGCAGTGGCTGCCTGGTGACCTCTCTGGCTCTGGGACCTCCTTAGGGGACACAGATGCTCACCCAGGTGCTGTGGTCCAGCTGCTTCTTGCAGACACCTGAGCTGCCACCTGTAGCCTGCGGGATGTGTCGAATGCAGTGTAGACGGACAGCCGTCCATTTGGACCTGAGTCCGGGCTGTGGCCTCCCTCCAAGGTCAGAGGCCTGGTCACCCCATCCCTGCCACAGGACCTAGAATGCAGTGAGGACAGTGGGGCCTGTCCACCCTTAACAGTGAACACCTGGTTTCAGAGGACAGGAAGAAAGGACGGGGCAGACGGTGTAACCCTGACCTGTGAGAGGCTTCTCGGGGTGGAGTTGCAGCCCAGAAGCATGGGCTGAATAGGGACAGAGAGGCAGCTTCAGGGCAAGAGGGCTTCTGATG